ATTTTGCTCACTGGGGAACATACGCTTTCCAAATAAGGGAGGAGAGGGGAGGAGTTGCCTGGGTTCTTTCCTAGCTCTGAGTCTCAGTTGGCTCCAGTATGGACTCACTCTCCCCAAACTGGCAACCTTCAGTTCCAATATTTTTCTGAGAACTGTACAGACAGTCTCATGGGGGCTCCTTAGAGAGCTGCTCTAACTCCAAGGAAACATCTACCTAAGGGGGCCCTGTAGCCTAATTGTTAACTTAGAATCAATGGAGGGCAGGGCTCCTTCCTGTCTCTTTCTCCCCAACCTGCCAGGCACAGAGTGGATGGTCAGTAAAAGTTTCATTGAATGACTTACCTACTGAATGAATGAATGAGTACTAAACTTCAGAGTGATCTATCAGAGATGTTAGAGAGAAAGCATGGTTTATATATAGATTAAAAGACACTTAAAAAGCATATCAATTAATGACATATGGGGACCTTGTTTGGATTTTTATTCAAACCCAAAAATGGGGCAACTGGGAAACCTGAACACTGATTAGATTTTTGGTTATTTTTCTTTGCCCTGCATAGTGTTTTTGCACAACTTTTAATGTTGCCATCATTTTAAAAATAAGAGATTTTACATTAAAATCTAGATTTTCAGCTTATTTTGAAAAATGGGAAGATCTGGCCACAGATGGGCCCATCTCTTCACTCGGCTATCACAGGCTGGAATTAAGGAGAGATTGCTTTTTTGGGGGCCTCAGGTTCATACCAAGTGCCAATTCTTCCACAAAGGCTTCTCTGATCACCCCAACCAGGAATGATTTCTCATCCTGATGCGCTCTTAGAACTCAATTGAATTCCTCACCCAGCTCCCAGCATATGCTGCCAGTATTTGGGGGTTTTTTGTAGCTCTCTTATGGCCCCTGCTTCCCCACACCTGGGGAGGATTAACGCCTTTAGAGGATTTAAATACTGAAAACATTATGGAGGGTGCCTCCCCATATGTAATTCCAAATCAAATTTCATTTTTCAAAGTGCTGGGATGTACAAGTAAACTGAGGACAAAATTTCTAGAGTTAAATGAAAATTCTCCAACTTTTATTTTGAAAAATTTCAAACCCACAGCAAAGTTGAAAGAATAGTAAAATTAACATCTCTGCAACCATCTAGATTCACCAATTTTTAACATTTTGTGATATTTGCCCTGTTTTTGCCCCTGAATTACTTGACGGTGTTCCAGACATTATGATGCTTTACCCCTAAATTCTTCAACATTTATTTCTTAAGAAAAGGACATGTTCCTAGATGACCACAATATCATTTTTACACCCAAGAATTTTGACCTTGATACAATAAGATTATCTAATACACAGTTTATATTCAATTTTTTCCAACTGTCCCAATAATAAGTGCTCCCGATTTTGTTTTAATCTAGATCCTAATCAAGGATTGTATACTGTATTACACTTGGTCTCTTCCTGTGATCTGGATCACTTCCCTGATGTCTGTTTTTAATCTTTCATGACGTTAACATTTTGAAACATCCAGGCCCAGTGCTTTGTAGAAAATGCCACAGCCTGCATTTTGTCTGAATGTTGCCTCATAAATGGATGGGTTAAACATCTAACAATGGATTCAACATTTTTGACATTTTTTCAAGAAACTCCAAAGGTGATGTTGCATTTTCTAGATTTTCTTTCTATTTGTGAAACTCCAGATAAATTCAACAAAGTTGAATTTGTGTGTGTTTGTGTGTGTGTGTGTGTGTGTGTGTGTGTGCAGTACATATGCTTTGCTGGACCCTAATCACAGGTGTGCTATATTAATAAACATATAGATCAGGCAAAGCATTGGTCTCTGTATATACATAGGAACAGGGTTTTGGTTGCTATAATACCAAACTTTTCCCCTTACTAGTATTAATCTACAGCGTCACTGACACTTATTTATTGCCTGCTCTTTAATTTTTGCCAAATCTGTAGGTATAACAAGATAACTTGTGGTTTTCCATTGCATTCTCTGGACTGCTAAAGAGTTTGAGCATCTTATGTCAATTGAGTATTTTGTGTTTTCTTTCCTGTAAAAGGCTTGCTTATGTTTTTTGCTCACTTTTTGGAGGTTGTTTATTACTTATGTGCTTTTAGATCTTTATTCATTCCAGATACTAATCATTTATGAATTATATACCGTATATCTCAAACCTCACAAAACAGTATGGCATAAGGCTGGTCAGATATTTTGAGTTCAAATTCCAGTTCCATTACTTAAAATTGTGTGACTCTGGATAAATTATTTAACCTCTCTCTAGTTTAGTTTTCTTATCCATAAAATGGGGTAATAATGGTACCTAATAGGATAGTAGGAGGATTAAATGAATTAATACATGTAATGCAGTTAGAACAGTAGCTGGCACATAGTAAGAGTCAATAAGTGTTTGCTGTTGTTAGGTTTCCCCGTTTTACAGCCTCCATGTAATTTTGAGACACAATGGGTTCATCAAAGTGTTTATCCCACAAGTGGTCTCCTGCCCCATTTGGGGGTCTCCTGCCGCATACCTATGGCCCCTTCGATAAACTTCTCCCTGCAAGCATGTGTCACATCACACTAATAAAGGGGCTGACTCCACTTTGTATAGGCAGGCACCCGTGAAAGTGATGTATTCTCCTCAAAGGCGCATCGAGCCAATGAATTTTTTACTTGTGAGTGGGAAAAACATGCTGCCAACCCCAAGGGCCTCCTACAAGTGTTATCTGGAGAGATTAATGGCAGTAAGTCCTCTCCTTCACTTTACAGACCGGTAAGCAGCCTAAAGGTAATTCGCACAACTTTGAGACTTAACAGTGTCATGATTTATTCTGCAACTATTTAAGAAATTCTCTGCTCAAGATCGGGCCCCTAGCACCTCCTAGGAACCTCTCTCCTTCTCAACCCCTCACTGGGCCTCTTCCTCCAAATTGGGCCTTTCTTAGTGTAGTGTTTCAGAGACTAGCAAACTCGTGATGCAAACGCACTCAGTATGAGTTCCGTAAGTGAACGAAGGAAGGAAGGCTGTTACTGCGTTGCCAGGTAGGAGTGACGAAAGGGGAAAAGGAATGTTGGATGGCCCAGCCGCGTGGTGACTGGCTGGCCTCACAAAGGGGGTGGGGGAGAGCACGGAACGAACGAGAAGGCTTCTTTAGACTAGGTGGTCGCTGCCCAGCGGGTCGCGACGTGGTGGTTGGAGAGCTGCGCCGCCAGCTGAGCTGGTCCCAGGCGGGCGGGGCGGGGGCGGAGCCGCCACGCCCCCCCGCGTTGGGGTCCGGGCCAG